AAAAATAATTTTATTAACTTTAAATTAAAAATAACTATTTAAAATTACAAAAACTATTATGTTTTTAAAAGTATTTTGACATTTTTATATAAAATAATATTATTGTTAGTAATTTAGAAAATAATTTAAAATTAATTTTAATAAAGTATTAATATAATTACCGGTATCTAATATTATTTTTCACCCAGGCATGTTTAAACATTTCAATGATTTGCGTCAAAAGAATCCCCATTTGACAACATTGGTGGCCATAGGGGGTTGGGGTGAGGGGTCGGATAAGTACTCGCAAATGGCTAATGACCCAGGTAAACGCAAAACATTTGTCGATTCTGTAGTCAACTTTTTGGGTCAACACGGATTTGATGGGTTTGATGTTGATTGGTGAGTTATAAAAATTATTTATTCATTTTACATTAGCATAGGTATGGCTGAAAAGTTATAGTATTTTGGTACAGGGTAGCATTTATAGCTACTGTTTTTCAATGGATTATCGGACCACATAGCAATATAAATACCTATTTTACTTTAATAAAATACCTTTCCTGAAATTTATTAGTACAGTCTTTAAAATGACAATAAAATGTAATTTTGAAAATTGTAATATTGGTGTGGTCATTTTATATCATTAATGCGTTTTGTTAAATAAATATCTATAAATTAAATCACGTTTTAAAAAAATATAGTTAATATAAACTATTGATATTATAATACAATTTTATATTTTTAAAATTATTTTCATAAATTTTAAATACTAGATTCATTTATATGTCTGAGTTTTAAAGTTACTCCCAAATAATTAAGATAAATTTTTATCAATAATTATTATTATGTTATCGTTATAAGTACTGTATTACCAACTTTATTTTAATAAATAATTAATAAAATACTATTTATTATATTATACTATTGCAGTGTTGTCCGGGTAAGTAAATGTTAACTCTTAACTAGTTTTGTTTATATACATAATAATAACTAATACATTAAAAATAGACAACAAAACTGTACTTAATAAAAACTTTTAGTATGTATTTATTTAAAGATTTATTTGATTTTATAAATGGAAGTTGCTCACAAACGTATATTTAATTTAGATAATTACAATTTTATGCCCATGATACAAAATTTTATTATTTTTGAAAAGACAATAAACTTTAATTTAAATTAAATTATAAGATCTTTAACATAAAATATAACAAAATAATTAATAAGCATAATAATTATTTGTACATTGAAGTTAATAATACGAGTTGATAATAGCCACCCAATGATACTATTGGCTACTGTAGTCTACCAGATGTTTATTAGTATACCAGTACAATCAAACAGTTGTACACCTCATATTAAGCTACTGGCTGAGCCTTATTTACTAGTTATTTATTAAAATATTAAAATCATACTTGGGAACCATGAATTGTCTTGGTATTATAGTCTTGGCATTGTCTCTGTCGGGTAAGTTGTGTATCATAATCTTAAATGTTTTTTATATACAACCATGTCAAATTGTATTAATATGCTTGCACACATAAGCTCTCTCTCCCGATATTGTGGTTTTGTATGGGAGAGAGAGCTATTTATATATAATTACAATTATAATTAGTAAATTATTTATTAATTTAGTTTTAGTACATGTAACTATGTTTGTATTAAATTAATAAAAAATTAATATTTAATAATAGTTTTCATAAAACTAGCTCTCTCACCATAGGTGGGGTGCGGTTGGGTGCGGTGGGGTTTTAAAGTCAAATCCCTATTTTATATACAGTATAAAAATTTATTGTATAAACAGAAATAAGTTTTTATAAATATTGGCAGTTTTAAATAAAAAGCGTAAATTTCTAAAATAGGTTTTTAAAATAACATTAATAAACATTATAATTAACCTATTAACAAATTTATAAACAGTTGTAGAAATAACTGAACCTAGTCGTAAATTTATAATAAAATATTTTTTAGAAATATGACCTATTTAAAATTAATAATTTCTTTGTATAGCTAAGCCAAAAGTACTAACAATTTATTGAATATTATTTATACTAATAAATTTGAATTTATTTACAGTTTTTATAAATATTCAATGTTTTAATAAACAATTTCAACATGCTAAATAAATTGCTATTAATATCACTGTTATTGGTATACAAATGCAAATGTGATGGCAATCGAGATATAAGTAAAATGGAAACATTTTCATTGAGTAAGTTATTGCATTTTTATAAACTTATACAGGTAATAAAAACACATTAAACTAGATTTAACCCCGGCAACATATACTACCCAAAGTGAGACATCGTGCTTTCACTGCGACCCGGATGCTAATATGACCCAGCTATTTGCCGTACATAATACCAATTTAAATGCATCATGCAACTCGGTTAGATTTGAGCACCGGTACCTCGCTTACAATATTACTTACCTTGGTTACCCGGAAATATTAAAAACAAATTATGCACCTTCATATTTTATAGATTTAAACGGTACTTGATAAATTATTATAAAATATTTTGCATTTAATTTATTATATCAATACTTTTAAATCGTTAGGTAATTCAATATTTTTATTACGTGGCAAAATACCAAGGGGCATTTGTGCCGGGGGTACTTTTCAGTTGCTGGAGTTTTTTGCCGTAAATGATCATAATGGTTGTACATCAGCAAAGGGTCTGGATAAAAAATTATCTGTACACTCGGCTATACAAATTGATGGTGGTAATTGCGCTGGTAAATGTACTGGGTCCAGTACTATTACATTTGATCCGCCTGTTAGAAATGTGCCGGCTCTCTGGTGATAATAAAAATATTTACCATTATTACATACTGTACTTGTTGAAATAAAATTTTTCGAATAATAAATAATATTCTAATATTAAAATTTTAAATATTTTTATACGCTTTTCCGTAGGGGGGAGGGGTAAACGTTCACTATGTACCCCTCACTGTACTAAATGTGCTATAATATAAATAATTATTAATGATTTGTAAAAGTTCCTATAAGCAATTAAATTGTTTTTATTATTTTATATTTAAAGCTGTAAATTAAATCTCAATTATAACATTTATCAGCAAATTATTAGTAAAAATAATATGGGATTGTCGAACCTCACAGTTTAATAATTAAATCAAAAATTATATAAAATAACATTTTGATTATAAAATAAAATTTGTTTTTTTGCAATTAATTTTGAATAAGTGAATTTATAAATTATTTAATTTTTTAAAAATTAATATATTACAATAAAACTACTTTTGGTTGCTATTATGAATAGAGGTTGAACTCAAATGTTTGCTTATTCATTTTAATTGTATATTTACACCCTATTCATTTACTAGTGGGAGTGACTACTTTGTCGGTTGTCGGTGACGGTGGACCACATTTTATTGTGTCGGTTAGTGTCGGTTGAAAATAGGGTTGTTAGTCAGTTACACAACATTTTATTGTTAAAAGTCATACCTGAACAGTACATATATAACTGTTAAAAGTAACCAGTGTTAGATTATTATGTCCACTTGTGGTCAGCCTGGTCAATATTAACATTTTATGGTAAAATTCATAAAATGTACCTGCGTTAATATTTCTGTATAATGAACTGTAAATTCTGCAGTTTTAAATGTATTATTAAATAAAAATTTACACTATAATATATTATTTGATTAAACTATAAATATTTATTAAACATTTTAAATTTATTAAAACACACTGATGTTTTGTTATAAATTAAGCAATATAACTATAATTTGTATTTTATTTAAATGATTTTAATTAATAAAAGTGAGATGTAGCCATTCATGGTTTTCAGCCAACTATTTACGTTTTAATTAAAATCATTAGATTATACATGAATTCAAATTAAAACTACAGTTTCTGAGATCAATAATCAAAATTTTATTTAATTATATTTATTACAAAATTAAAATAATTAATTTTATTTAAATTAGTAATAATAAATTCTTTATTGCATTAAACATATTAATCTTACCAGATACATTTGGATTTATTATTATTATTAACCTTTTAACGCATTATTAATGGCATTAATTAAGGGATACTTTCCCGAACCGCAAACACCATTGAAATCGTCGGTCTCTATGGACCACACCATAGCCCCACCCAAACCCTTACTCTTAATGAACTCCACTTTTGCCTTGATACTTTGCTCATTATCGTAGCCAACCCAATCACTTCCCATCACAGCATAGGTAGCCATTCTCTGGTCACACCATTTGACCGACCATTTGCTTATGTTTTCGCAAATCTAATATAAAATTATACATTAAAATATTTTTTTGACAAAATAATGTATGATTTTTATTTGTTAACCTCATTATAGCCTAGAAATCCGCTTTGTTTAGTGTATGGACCGGCACTCCCGGCCCCGGCAGTCGGAGCGTTGAAACCATTGTTTTCAGGTGCGGCCAACTTGAATGTACGACCGTATAAGGGAATGCCTACCACCTATAATAATGTGTATAATACAGTATCCGGTAGTAATATTATAATAATTAATAAATTACTAAATATGGTAAGCTGTAACTTTGTATAAATCATTACATAAATATATATTGTAAATATAATTAATTATTATAATGGTACAGCTTACCCAATATCATTTTTAATTTAATCAACCACATTAAATAAATAAAAGTTATTAAACAAGCTTACTAGTTTTTTAGGCTCAGCACCTAGTTGTAGCCATAAGTCTACAGCGTAGTGAACAGTTAGCATTTTATCTTGGTCAGTGTCACCAGGACCAGTGTGTAGGGCAGCATGATGACCTGCAATAATTCATACATACAATTATATTTTTTTTATACAATAAATAAATCAATATAATAGTGTTACCGGTTTTCTGTTCCCAACTGCCGTGCAAGTCATAAGTCATAAGATTAATAAAGTCGAGGTATTTGTTCATTTCGGGCACATTGTAAGCCCTGTCTACTGTTGCCTTTCCCGCGGCCACGGCAGCCGTCAGGAGATACCCGTG